GATCACAAGTAGGCAGAGAGGCAGGTGAGGGGGGTGGGGAAGCAGGCCCCCCGCTGAGTAGAGCTTGATCCCAGGACCCTGAGATCATGACCTGAGCCAAAGGCAGAGGCCTAACACACTGAGCCACCCAGGCACCCCAACTTCTTCTTTTATAATATTCATTCTGTAATTGCTTTTTCAACACCTGATTTCCTCACCACATCTGTTAGCCCACTGCCAAACCCTAGTGCCGGGTACCTGGTAGGCTTTGCCAAGAATGTTTGAAGGAAAGAAATGGAATCTATGATTTCTGTCTTTGATATTATATTTAGGAAGCTGTGTTATATATTTTCAACTGATTTTTATTTTAAAATTAATGAACATGCCTGGTTTAGAGAATTAAAATTAGATGTATAATAAAATGTGTCCCTTCCATGGTAGAGGAATCCCACCCAGTCCCCCAGCCCTGTTCCCAGAATTGGGAACAGTTCTCATTTCTTGTGTCCCCGATGGGAGGATAAGCAAGTATATATTTGTGTCTGTTTCTGTACTTCTCCTTTATGGGAATTCACCATCGCCATTGTTAGGACTCTTGCTTTGTTTCATTTACCAGTCATCTGTCCCAGAGATCATTCTATAGCTGCTCGAATAGTTCCAACTCACTGTTTTTCAAGACTAGGTGGTACTCTCTGCTATAGATACAGCAATCTTTATTTAACCAGTCCCTTACTGACGGGCACTCAGGTTAATGTCAAGTGTTTTGCTATCACAAACAAGGATGCAATTAACATCCTTATGCATACAAGTCTATACTATGTACATTTTATACACAGCACAAATTCCTAAAAGTGGAATTGCTGGATCAAAAGGTATCTGCAGGGCACTTGGGTGGCTCAGTTGGTTGAGTGACGGCCTTCGGCTCAGGTCATGATCCCGGAGTCCCCAGATCGAGTCCCGCATCGAGATCTCTCTCTCTCAAATAAATAAGTAAAATCTTAAAAAAATAAAAGTATCTGTATTTAATAAATAATTTTTTAGGGGCGGCTGCGTGGCTCAGTCATTAAGCGTCTGCCTTTGGCTCAGGTCTTGATCCTAGGATCCTGAGATCCAGCCCCACATGGGGCTCCCTGCTCAGTGGGGAGCCTGCTTCTCCCTCTCCCACTTCCCCTGCTTGTATTCCCTCTCTCGCCTTCACTCTCGCTGTCAAATAAATAAACTTTAAAAAAAATAATAATTTTTTAAAGATTTATTTATTTATGCGAGAGAGCGAGAGAAAGCGCAAGTTGGGGGAGGGACAGAGGGAGAGAGGAGCTCAAGCAGGCTCCTTCCTGAGCAAGAGGAGCCCCGAGGGGGTGTTTGATCTCAAGACCCCAAGATCAGGACCTGAGCCAAAATCGAGTTGGAAGCTTAACCCACTGAGCCACCCAGGCACCCCTCAAAAGTAATTTTGTATAAAGTATAAGCCTCTGCCTTTGGCTCAGGTCATGATCCCAGGGTCCTGGGATCAAACCCCACATCGGGCTCTCTGCTCGGCGAGAAACCTTCTTCTCCCTCTCCGACTCCCTCTGCTGTGTTCCCTCTCTCGCTGTGTCTCTCTCTGTCAAATAAATAAATAAAATCTTTATTTAAAAAAAGTAATTTTGGTCACTAATATCAAATTGCTCTCCAAAGAGTTTGTACCAGCTCTTAGCCCTGCCAGCGCGTTTTATCAGGTGCCCACTCCCCTGCACCTTTGACTCCTGTGTGTGTAACAAGCGAATAGTGAATATCTGCCCATACCAGGCTCCTGTTAGATACATTCTCACCGCTGACATCTCCAAAACCTTCCTCCCTCCCAGCCATCGCTGCCCCCAGCCCCCAAGCCAAGCAGCCACAGCTTCCGGCCAAGTTTATCTCATCTCACAACCATCCCTTGCCAAGCTTATCTCGTCTCTCACAACCATCCCTTCTATCCTCTTCACTTCGCCCCTGGCTCAGCCCAGGCTTCCGTCCTCCATGTCTGAGACCATGACTGTGGTCTCCCCATATGGTCTCACGTCACTGGACCCCCTGGTTGAGCTTCCAAAGTTCAGCTGCTGCCTTTGAGCACCGCCCCACCTAGTCAGTGTTCCTCAATGGCATCCACCGCCCATAAGAAGGCCACACTCCCTTGGACTGCCTAAGGATCTGCACGATTCGGCCTCTCCTCCTGTCTCCAGCACCATTTCCCCTCCTTTCTCCCTTGTGTGGCGTTCCAAAATTCTCATTTTCCACACTTCCTGGCAGTTCCCTGACATCCTACTTCCTTCCTGATGCCACTCCTTGCTTGGGCCACCTTTAACCTGAATTGCTCCTCCTTCCCGAACTCCTCTGAGCTACAAGGCAGCAGGAAGCATGTCCAAAGCTTCTAGGCCATCCCAGCTGGGCTGAGGGGCCGCCTGTGCTGCCTACCTTCCGTGTTCTCACTCTCTCTCTCAATCTCTCTCTCTCGGCTTTGATTGCATTTCACGTCTTATTCATTTATATATTTATTTTAAAATATTTCATTTATTGGGGTGCCTGGGTGGCTCAGTGGGTTAAAGTCTCTGCCTTCGGCTCAGGTCATGGTCCCAGGGTCCTGGGATCAAGCCCCGCATCGGGCTCTCTGCTCAGCGGGGAGCCTGCTTCCTCCTCTCTCTCTGCCTGCCTCTCTGCCTACTTGTGATCTCTCTCTCTCTGTCAAACAAATAAATAATCTTTAAAAAAAATTTATTTATTTATTTGAGAGAGCACGTAAGTGCAGGAGAAGAGGGAGAGGCGGAAGGAAAGGCAGAAGTAGATGCCCCGCTGAGCAGGGAGCCAGACAGAGGGCTCTGGGCCCCATCCCAGGACCTGGAGATCATGACCCTGAGCAGAAGACAGCTGTTTAATCATCTGAGGCACCCAGGCCCTCCGCATTTCAGGTTTTAGTCTGCTCAGGTGTCTTTCTCAGAACTGGGGTGTGGGTTCCTCGAAAGCAAAGGGATGGCCCAGTTGTGGGGTGTCCCTGGGTCCTGGCATCGTGCCCAGCACACAGTGAATGCAGATACCTGTGGTTAAGTTGAACTCCACGTGGGTGAAGGCTGTGTGGGTGGTGGTGGGGAGAGACTGGCTGTGATCTCATTCAGAGCTGGGAACCCTGGGCGACTCCCTGGCATGTCAGGGCCCCTTGGATGCAAATCTTGGGGGTAACCAGTGTTTACTGGGAGAACAGGAAATCCAGTAGTACTGGGGGAAGGAGGAAGGCAGAGGCAGAGAGGGCTGGGTATTTGTCCTGCCCCAGCGGACTCCAGCTCAGAGTGGGGAGGTTGGGAGCTGTGGGCTTCTCTTTCCACATCGGTGCTTTCCAGAGCTGTCACACGCTGAGGTCGTCCCCCAACACCCGACATGGGGGACGGACCAGCATCTGGGGCGCAAGGAGGCCGACTTGAGGCTGGATTCACAAGGTACGGGGATGAGGGGGGTGTGGGGGCAGGGTAGGCAGAGCTGGGGGGGCAGAGACCAACTTCTGGAAGGGCAGGTCTCCCTTCCTTCCAGTGTGTTTATGTATTGGGGGAAAGACTACCCCACCCCCGGGAGGTAGGTAAACGATGATGGCCCCCATTTTTCCAGCCCCCTCCACCCCCGGGTTGGGGGAAGGGCAGGCTGGAGTCGCCGAGGACAGAGAGGCCTCTAGCGGCCACCGTGAGAAACAGGCGAGGGCGGGGAGGGGCGTGAGGGCACTTCCTGCCAGGGCCTGGGGCTGCCTGGTTTTGCAAAGGAAGTGCTGCCCGGGCCGGAGGGGCGGAGGCAGGAAGTGGGTCGGAGGCTAGTGCAAGGGCGCGGCCAGTAGGTGCTGAGGGGCCGTGGAGGGGCGGATAGGGGAAAGAGGTGCGGAGGTCAAGGAGACCGAGCGCCGGGCCCACCGTCTGCCCCAAGGACCTTGACGCCTCCGCCTGCCGGCCCTTCGCGACACCTCGGCCAAAGTTCTTCCGTTTGGCGCTGAACTTGGCTTCCCAGGAACTCGTCCCGCCCCCACGTCCCGCTCGGGGCCCGCGGCAGCCCCTCCCCTCTACCCGGGGACAGAGGCCACACCCCTCCCGCCTGCAAATACCTTCCCAGTGCCTCCCCTAGGGACGCAGCCCAGCTTTACTTTACAGCTAATACTAGCGAGCCCTCCGCGTGCTGGCATTTAATCAACTCTGCAAAGAGGGCGTTTCTCCATTTTGCAGGTCAGGTAACAGGCGACGAGACGTAGAATAATTAAACGGTACAGCGGTGCGCTCGGGTCCACTCACCACTGTGCGCCCACCTCACACTTGCACACTTGAAGCCTCGGGGGCCCAGGGCAGCCCCTCCCTCCACATCCCTGGAGGGTGTGGCCTGAGGACAACCCCCATCTCCCCCACCACCTCCCCGTTCAACGTCCCCCCAGTGACCACAGAGGCTGGATGGGGGTCTTGCGTTTTTAGTTCTTGTCATACTGTGGGGCTCTCAGTCACAGAGAAGGCACTTAAATGGGAAGGTCACCTGATTCTGGCCAACCTTGTCCTCCCTCCCACCCCCAGCTCTCTGGGGTGGAGGGGCGATGATATCTCCATTGGACACCCCCCTTGGCACTGGTATGTGGGTCCCCTTAACCGTTAAGCCCTGGGGAGAACCCAAGGCCTTGATCTCCAGACTCAGCATTTTGGGGAAGGGGTTCCAGGTAAAGAAGTCAGAGCTGGAAGGCAGGATGTCTTGGGAGCTGCCCCCAGCCAGCAGGGGGTGAGGCGGGGTGGGGGTGGGGTGCACAACAGGGGTGGGTTGGCACAGGGGGGACGGGGACAGCTTGGCCAGGCTTCCTGGAGACCCCCAAACCCCCCAAGAAGGGTCCCACCTCCTACAGCTCCCCTAAAGGCACCAGTGAAGTATGGAGTGGGTGGGGGAGGGCACCAATGAGATGCAGAGACCCCCACGCACTCAGCTGGTGGGCCTAGCACAGCCTTGGGCACAGAGAATGTGCTGATGTGTTTTCAATGAATGAATAATTGGAGCAAAGAGGGTGTGAGGGGCAGAAGACAGGGCTTGGGGCCCCTTGGCCCAGCCTGTTTCATTCAGAAGATAGCAGTTTAAAAAATGTAAAAATCCTTTCCCTCCCTCCCCACAATTTATGGGTCCAGGAAAGGGGTGAAGGACTGGGGAGGTCTCTGCACCCTGGCCCTTCCCTCTCCCCTTCCCCTAAAAATCTATATACACATATACATATTTATATGGCACCACAAATGGGTCCTGCCTCTGCCCCCAACACCAGGGCTGGGGTGGTGGCCCCAGGGCCTTGGGATGGTTATGGCAGATGTGAGAGGTCAGGGCTCGGTGTGGGAAGCAGCTTCCAGCTGCTGCTGAGCCTAGAGAAGCTGGACTCTGGGGTCCCGCAGGACACACCCCATTCCCTTCACCAAATGATAATGGATCTCCCCTCCCTGACCTCCTAGGAGGCAGAGATCGGTGGGGGCTGTACCAGTCCCAAGGGAGGAGGTGGGGAGGCTGATTCCTCGCCCCTGCCAGCCTAGACTGCAGCCATCTGGAGACTGTCCCAGGCCAGAGCCGACCCGATCACGGCCCTGGGAAAACAGGGCAGGGCAAAAAGGGTTCTATGCAAGGAAGGCACTTGGTGTCCACCGTTCCCAGGCTGGGGGCCCAAGGCATGGGGCAGCAGGAAGCCTGCCCCTCCCCCAAGTAGAACCAGAAAGGGCCAAGGGGCCCTATTTGGCAGCAAAGAAACATGGCAGCAAAGAGAGGGAGAGGGAGGGGGAGCGCCCCACAGGGCCCCATAGGCCCCCCAAGGAGGAGGAGGAGGTTCTAAGGCACTGACACAGGGACCCAGAGGCTCATTGCTCTTGGCGCAGCCTGGCCGGGCAGGCGGGGAGGGCCCACTTCCCCATGCCGCTGAGGGCTGAAGTGGGCCACCGCTGCTGGGTTTTCGTAAGGACAAGTCCACGTGGGAAGGGTGTGGGCCTTGGTCAGGGGCCGGTTGTGGCCCCAGGGCACCTCACTAGCTGCCTGGCCGTGGCTGCCTGAGCACTGAGTACACGTCATCCACACGGCTGAGCTGCTCGAAGAAGGGCAGAAGGTCGTGGAGCTCCGTGTCGCTCATGTTGTCAAACCAGGAGGCCACCGGTACCTGGGCAAAGGGATGCGCAGTGGTGAGGAGGGCAGGTGGCTCCGGGCACAGGATGTCCAGACCAGCCCTGAGTGCCCACTGTTTGGCAGGCCACCCCCCAGGGAGCCCCTGACTCAAGATTTTCAAACATTCCTGACAGCAACCCACCGTGAATTCCGTTTACCTGTACGATACACTGCCGGTTTTATAAAGTGGTACTTAACCTTCCCGGGTGCAAAGCCCTCCGATATTTTCTATTCTCTTTTTTTTTTTTTTTTTAAACTCCAACTAGGACCCACTACATTGTTTCTGGGACCCAAGACTAGGTCACAACTGGTGATTTTCAGAAGCTGAAACTGCTCCAGGATGCAGAGGGCACTCCCCGACCCCGGCCCTGGTGGGCGCCCCCTCCAAGCAAGTGGATGGAATGATGAGTAAGGTCCGAAAAGCTGCAGCGGCAGTGGGTGTGTGTTGGGGGGGGGGCACAGGTCCCCGAGGGCAGGAAGCACAGATGACCAGGAGGGCATTAGGCCCCAGACACCACCCAGCACAGCAGCAGGGAGGCCAAGGAAGCCCCCGCGGCTGGACCCTCTTCTTGGCTCTCGGTCCCCCAACCTGGTCCTGCCCAGTACTCACGGCGTTGTCCGGATGGAAGACGTAGGAGGCGGGCGAGTTGTCCAGGATGAGCACCCGTCGCAGGTCTCGGCCCAGCCGGCTCAGGTCCTTTACATAATTCCCCCGATGGAAGACGCAGGACTCACGAAACAGCCGCGCCCGGAAGGCCCCCCACTTGTCCAGCAGATCGGCTACTGGGTCTGCGTACTATAGAGTGGGACACGGGTCACCCAGGCCCAAAGGGGACCCATTAGTCCACCGGACGGCAGGCTGGAGGTAGAGGGGAAGCGGGTGGCCCCAGGAGCCCTTCGGAGGGTGGGGGCCTCACCTTGGCAAGGCTGGCTGTGAACAGCACACACTCAAAGAGCTCGCCCATTCGCTGCAGGAACTCATCCACGTGGGGCCTCTTCAGCACGTAGACCTAGGGGGTGGGCCGGTGAGGGGACTGCTGGCCCGCAGGCGGGGGGGGGGGGGGGGTGCCCGGCTGAGGACAGGGAGGGAACAGAGCAGGGAACACAGGAGGGAGGCTGGTCCCAGGGCCCACGGGCTCCACTTGGCCAGCACCTGTCCTTCCAGAAGAGGATCAAAATGAACCTCCAACTTCTAGCTTCAGGTCCTACCTCGCGGGGAATCACTAATTCCCAGTCTTTGCCCCACCATGGCCTTAGGCAAACGAAGGGGCCTGAGGGCGGCCCCCTCACCCCGAGGCAGCAGGGCACCGGCCCCCGAGCCAAGTAATGGAGAACAGGCTGGACAGCACACAGCCTATCCTGAATTACTTGAACTGGGTCCCGGGCAAGGGGGGGCAAGGGGGCGCCGAGGAGGAGCCCCACTCCCTACAGGCCTTGGAGTCGGGCCAAGTCCCCGAGGGTCTGTATCATCCTGGGAGCAAGTCTCACACCCTCTGGGCCCTTATGTTCCACCTCTAGCCAAGTCCCACCTGGGGTCCTCAGAACTGATGAGAGGAGCCTGGGGTCTGGAAGGCAGGTGCCAAGCCCGCCGCCTCCCCCCACACCCAGCCCCTCACCTGGTGGACCACCCCATCAATCTCCACAGGGATGATGAAGTCGGCGTTGTTCACTGGCTGTGGGGGGAAAAGGAGCTGCTGGGGCGGGGCCTGCAGAGACGACCCCAGCCCCCAGTCCAGGGCAGGCCCCCCTCAGAGACCCAGGGACCTGAGGGCTGCTGGGCAGGGCCCACCTTGAAGGAGCTGTGCACCAGGGTCTCGTCCAAGTCGATGACCACACAGATCTTGTCCACATCCTGGGCCTTGGCTTCTGGGAGCAGGTACTGTGCTGGGGTCTGCTGCAGGGATGGGTGAAGTAGTTGGGGGCGCCTCTCCTAAGGCCCCATCATTTCTCCTACATGGGTCTTCCCTCCCTCAACCCTCTATGCCAGGAGACACAGGAATGGTGGGGAGAGGCCAACTCCTTCCCAGCTTTGCCCCCGGCCTCCAACTGGGGCCTGGGGCAGGCCGCCTGGCTGGAGGCCTCAAGTCCCCACCTGGGAAGCCAAGGGAGAGAAAAGCTTCCAATCTTATAGGGGAAATCCAGAGTTCCCTTGGCTGAGGGACCCTTGCCTGGGTGGCAATCTTAAGGGCCTTCAGGGCCAGGCTGGGAAGGCCTGGTAGGGAGGGCACAGGGCTTGGGAGAGGGGCCCTCCCTACCTTATATGGCCTGCAGACGGGTCGTGAAAAGCCCCTTCCCTCAAACTCGCCCCAGCCTGAGCCCAGATGCCCACAACGGGCCACCACGCACCTTGGGGACAGCTCCGTTCTCCTCCACCAGCAGGGGCGCCCCACTGTGCGCCGGCAGGGCCTCCCCATCGTCGCGGCAGACGCAGCAGAAAAGCGAGTGGAGAATGCCCCGGCTCCGGGGCTTCTGAGAAGCCGCTAACTTCTGGTCACCTGAAGCAGAGAGGCTCGAGGTGGGGGTGTGCACCCTAGCCCGCAGAATCGTGCATCCATGCCCACATGCGAACTCCTGACAGCCTGGACTCCAGGCCACCCCTCTGGTACCCACAGATCTTCCCAGTGTGGTTACAAAGGCCCCCTCATCCGGCCGCGGACTGGCTACTCTCCGTGGGCTTTCTCTTTTCTTACCAAACTTCATCCCTCCTGTGGGATCAGCCCCACCAGGGATGCCTCCAGACACCCACCTTACCTGAGCAGCCCCTGCTCGCTGGGGCCCCTAACCGGGGAGGGTTGGGGCCTGGGGCCCTGCTGTCCACTCCCGCCCTGCTCCCATCCTTACCGCCCACGTGGGTCCAAAGTCCTCACTGAGGCTGGGAGCAGAGGCAGGGAGCGGGGGCCTGGAGCCAGTGTCCCGCGGCCAGCTGCCGGCCCCGCCTCCTCCGCCCTCGCCCCGCCCAGACCTCCGACCTAGAGCCCGGCATCCGCCGCCTGATTGACGGGCCCACCCTCCACCGCCCCTCTACCGGGCCCCCTGCCTTCGGGCGGAGCTAGGCCCTGGCCAGAGCTGGGCGAACCTAGAGGGGCTTCCTAGCCTCCGAGGTCAACACCGGCACAGGGAGGGGCAGACGCCCAGCCTAGACCCTCCAGCCCCGGGGGCCCGGCCAAGGCGGGCGGGCTGCACCGCTTACCCGGTCGGTGCGTGTGTGCACAGGCCCGGCGCCCAACGGCCTGCAGCCGGGGCGCCTGGTGCTCAGCCCGATGCAAAGAACTCGCGGGTGCGCTAGGGACCGGTAGAAGTGGTTGCCCTACTCTTGCGCCTCTCAGGGGCTCAGTGCTTCCACGCGTGACGCGGAAGTTTGTTGGGATCGTAGCTGTATATTGGCGGGAGATCCTTCCAACCCTCCCCAGCCCGCTGTCACCTCGGCGCCCCCTCCGGCGACCCAACTAGACCGCGGCCCGGGGCGGAGCCTCACCGGGTGGCCTGAAGGCGCCCTCTTCAACCCCCCATCTCTCAGCCTCATTGGCGCCAATAGGGGGGAGGGGTCGACTATCGGGCAACGTGCAATGCCAGTCAGGGAGACCCGGAAGGAACCCACTCTCTACCCCTGCCTCAGTTTCCCCATCTCGGGCACTCGGGAGCGCCCAAGTGGCTCCAGGCCCCGCCCCGCGTCGACGAACCTCGGCGAGTTCAAACTCTCTCCCCGTTCCCTCTCCGGATGGGAGTTCTGAGCTCCGCAGTGGCGGGCGCCCGGGGCGGCGGCGGCGACTGTCCCAGGAAGGGTCTCAGCCCCTTCCTCCTCCCATCCCGCGGTGCCCCAGCCGCAGCCTCCTCCGCGCCGCCCCAGTACCTTTGCCCCGTAGCGGGCCCCGCGCCTCCTCCTTGGTGATCTGAGTAATGACGGCCGAGCTGTCCATGGGGCCGGGCGCGCTCCGCTCCGGCCGGACTCTGGCCCGGGCGCCCGGCCTCCCCCCCGGCTCGGGCCGGAATCGGGGCGCGGGGGGGAGGGGAGGGGTGGGAGGGAGGGATCCCCGCGAGCTTCGGAGGGGAGGGGAGCCAGGTTCTAAGGGGGAGGGGGAGGGAGGGGGCGCGGAGGAAACTTTGTTACAACATGGAGTTTCCTCCCCGCGAGGCGGATGCAAACATGGAACCCGGGCGCTGTTTCAAGGCTCCCCCTTAAAAGGGCAACGGCTTCGGCGTGACCTGGACTCTGCCGCGGCTTTCATCACCGCTGGGGCCGGCGCGGCTCGGCTCTGCTGGCTGGGAGGCGGGCCCGGCCGGGTTCCTGCCGCGCTCCAGGGGGCGTCGCCTCTCTTCCTGCGGCCCGCCCGCGGGGCCGAGCCTCTGCGGCTGCGTGGCAGGACCTGCTCCAGGCCCACGGTTCCAGACAGCCGAGCGCCCGGGGCCAGGGCCCGCCCCACCCGCCCCGAGCGCCCACGCCGGGGAGTGCCGGAGGGCGGCGCGGCTCCACCCCTGCTCTGTGCGAGGGCCACAGACTAGCCGCTTCGTGGTTTTCTCATCTGGGAAGCGGGAATAACGCTCTCCGGTCTGCAAACTGGGTCTTCAGTACTTGCAAAGGCCGCCTCGCAGGAAAGTCCTGAGCGAGTGAAGGCTCCCTGCCGGCTCCAAAAGGCTGTGCAGATCCGCAAGATTGTGCAGTGCAGTCCACACCCACCGCAGTTTCGGGGCCAGGTGGCCCGGCACTGTAGGGCGTGAAAATTACAACTCCCTGCGCCGGAATGCCCCCTGCGAACCTCGCCCGGTTGCTCCATCGGGTACCCCGCGCGTCCGCGCCGGTGGCAGAGTACCAAGCCCCTAAGCGCCTCAGGGCCTTCGTGTGCGCTGTTCCCTCCTCCTGGAAGGCGCTTCCAGCCCCTTCACGGAGCCGATCCCACTGACCTCGACGGCACCCCACCTTCTCCAAGAGGCCTTCCTAGACCCTTCGTCTACTCCCCACGCCGGCCATGCTGTACTTGTTGGGGAGGGGGTTCACGCGGTGCCAGCACGCAGTGGGCGCTTAATCCCTGCAGGCCCAATTTCTGACGGTGGAGGGGTCCACAGACATTAGCTGTTTATACGATGTGAAACACCCGTTCCACTTGGGGTGTACGGAGACACCAGCTGGCGCGGGGACCGCGGTTCCCCGCTGATTCTTCTGGAGGGAAGCTCCCCTGTTATGCGCCGCGAGGTCTGCGGGTGTTTTTGTTTCTCTTGTTTATGAAGTTCTTTCCATTCTCCTATTTTGTGTTCACCATTTAAAAAAAATAATAATAACGTCAAGCCCTGACAAACACGCCCCAGCACTTCCTTCCCCGACGGGGCCTCGGTGGCGGGGCGGAGCGGGCGCGTCCTGTCCCGTCCAGCCGCCTGGTGCTAGCGCCGCGCACGTCCTCCAGGCCCGGGCGGGGTGGGTTGGCGGGGGAGCCGGGGAGGGGAGAGGCCCGGCGCCGGGGCTGCAGGGTAGGAGAGCGGCACCGGCCCGAAGGCGCGCCAGCTTTGTGCCCCGCGACCGGGGAGAGAGGAGGCGGCCCACACCGTGGGTGTGGCGCCCACACCACCGGCGGGTTTGCATTTAATCCTAATAATTGCCCACGTGTAGCGAGCGCTCTGTTCGCGTCCTGCTCCGGCTGTGCCCCCTGATCTCGTTCACTCGTCAGAACGACCCCCTACATCTCCCATTTTACAGATAAGGAAACTGAGCTCGGAGAAGTGAAGTGACTTGAGCCAGCCTTCTGGCGAGGGGAGAAGTGGGGTTCTGGCCACCAAGCCGAGAACCCTCCCCCTTCGGTTGAGCCCCGGGGCGGGCTGTCAACTTTATCTCCGGACGCCCAGCTTGCATTGACCCCAAAAGGAAATGTGTGGTGGACTAAGTGAACCCCTGGCCTCACCCCATGGCTGGAGCAGGGCGGCTCACCTTCCTCTCTTTCGTTTCTCCCTCTCTGTAGACTGGAACCTGGGGAGGCCGAGTAGCTGCCCAATGGATACCGCACTGGGCAGGGTCGCTGCCCACTGCCTACCCACCGCCAGTCCCCCTCGTCTCCCAACTTTAACACTAGCCTCCTCCAAGCCCTCTTCCCCTGAGAGACCTTCCCAGGCTCCAAAGCCTTCCAGGTTTATCTTCCCACACGGAGTCAGGAGGCCCCCTGCAGTGTGTGCCTCTCTGTGTGTATGTGTGTGTGTGTGTGTGTGTGTGTGTGCGCGCGCGCGTTTGGGCGGGGGGAGGGGCGCGGGGGTTGTCTATGGACACCGAGGAACTGGCAGAAGTACGACGCAGTAGGATCTTGGGCCTGGGGCTTCCTCCCTGGCAGGGGGGGCGGTGTCCACACCCAGCTGCTATTCCGGAACTGCACTGCTCCAGCGGCTGGAGGGCGCCTTAGCCACGTTTTTTTCCTCCTTGTACTGCAGAGGGAATCAGATGATGCGGGCGGTGGGTCCAGAAACACCAGGATTCTGAGGGGTTCTGACTTGCAACTGTGGACAAGTGTCTCTTGCATTCAACACCTCAGCTTCCTCATCTGCCAAATGGGGTTGCTAAGAGCCCAACCCAGCCAAGTGAAAGTGTGTGTGTGTGTGTGTGTGTGTGTGTGTGTGGCGGGGGTGTCAGTGCAGAAAGGGAGGGTGTCCTCCCATCGCCCTTTGTGAGGGGGGAGAATCCTGGTGCCCCTTCCCACCTGAGAGGCCGATGAAGCATCCAGTCCCTCCCTCTAGGAAGAACCAGAGCTACTGGGGAGTGGAGAGCAGCACCTTGTAAACGTTTCCCTGCCCAGAAATGACAGACCTTGGCTTGACCTCATTGGTAACTCCTTGCCCAGGCCCAGGGTAGCCCCGCAGCTAATCCTTTGGTCCCTTCTCCTCCCTGCCTTCCTTGCACCCACATTCTCAGTGGCAGCCTTAACTATTCTGATGGCCAGCCTGCTCATGCCTCTGGGGTTCCCACCCCACCCCCCACCTGCCCTACAAGATCCAAGAACTCCCCACAAGGCTGCATGTCTATTTGGCACACCTGCCCCCACTCTTGGGAGGTTCATTCTCCCTTGGCTGCCTGCCCCCCCCTTACCCATTCAGCTTTCAAAATCCTGTTCAGGAGTTACCTGCTCTGGCCCTGGCCTCACTCTTTTCCAGGTGTGCCTAACACACACTTCGGTCGTTCCCTCGCCCGGCTGTTGGCTGTTGGATTTGCTGTCACTCTACGTAGCTAGCTCCCCCTGCTGAAGTGTGAGCAACCTGAGAGCTGACGTCTTTAATTCGGGACTTTACCTCCCTCCCCCACGTCTGTCACGGAGATGGCACCCAACTAATAGTAAACTGAAGGAGAGGGTGTGCAGAGGTACGGCTGGGGACAGACACCTCCAGGAAGCTGGAGAGGAGTAATGGAAGATGCCTCTTTCTCCTATTATCCGGTCCCCATCCATCTCCCCTCTTCAGCTAGCGTGGGTCCCACCTTCTCCAGGGCCAAGCCCAGAAGAGGATACAGCGGCCTTCTAGCTTAGGTCCTGCACACTCTCCCACCGTTTCCCTGGTTGGACCAGACCTGTCCCATCCCGTCCCTCCTGGAGGGCCCCACTCGCATCGTTGCCCTTTTAAGAAAGAGGAAATTCTTTTCATAAACAAGCGCCCCAACCAGAACGCGGAGCTTGCCCCACCAGATCTTGGGCAAAAGGGGGTGCTTCCAGGCACAAAGCTGGCTCCAGGCTCAACCCAAGGAAAGGCCTGGCGGCCCCCTCTCGCCACCGCTCTCCGCAGCTCAGGAGCTAGGGTCCGAGACACCCGGAGAGGCAGGAGGTGGGACTTGGGGGAGCCTAGAAACAGCCCAGGGAGCGTCTACAAAGTGCAACCCTTGCACGGGGCGAAGGGGTGCCGGGCGGCTCCCAGCGGCCAGAGGGGTTCCCCGCCCACACGATTCCCCCCTCACTTCCCTCGGTTCGCCTGGGCGGATTCCGAGGCCCCAGGGCGCTAGGCTCGAGCGCCCGCCTCCTCCTCTTTGGCCGGGAGGGGAGAGGCCGCGGCGGGGAGTGAGGGCACTTGGGACCTTCCCTGCCCCAAGGGGGAGCTGGGAGTCAGTGCGGAGGGAGCTTTAAATGCGCGGCGTGGGAGTCCGGGCCGCCGGGTCCCCTGGGGAGATGGCAAATGAATTGGGCCTCCGAGGCACGGACTCGGGTTCCACGATCCGGTGCCTGAAGACGGGACAACTGCGCCTCCGTTTTACTGCCTGGGATGTGGTTTGCAGGTGGTACAGAAAGTCTGAGGCTACTCCAGCAGATTCGTGCTTTCCCGGTTTCTGCTCTCCCGCTCTTTTTGGACGAGAAGTGAACTAGCATTTATTGAGCATTCATCGGATTATCCTAAACGCCGGTTTAGAGCTGGTGTCCTGCCCCAACTGGGTCCCCCCGTCAGGTCACTCCTATAGGTGCTCAATAAATATTTTTGGAATTACTATTATTTTTAAGTCCCAAGTGTCAGGCACTGTTAAAGTGCTTTACATCCATTGCAAGTTTGGTGTTGTCCCCATTCTACAGATGAGAACACTGAGGCTGGAGGTTAATCACTTGTCCAACCTAGGAAACAGCAGGTCCCTACGGAATCCAGGTTGGCCTGCCTCCAAAACTCCCACTCCATCTTGCTGCCTTCACACACACCCCAGCAGGCCCGTCTGCCCCAGTCATCCCAAACCCCAGCCAGTCACAGGGTGGGGAGTTCATCCAGAGATCTCCCCCCTCTTCTACTCTTCAAGAAGCCCATACAAGAAATGTTGATGGGAGCTGTGGACCAGAAGGGTGGCTCCATGGGCAATGAGACAGGTCCAGACCTGGGAGAGAGATGACGTGAGTCCAGGAGAGAGCAAGACCTCCCAGGAAGCCCAGGCGAATCCCCTTTCCCCAGTGCCCTCCATCCTTTGCCTCCTTTCCTTGCCTCCCCCATCCCCAAGGCACCCTCTGGCCCTGCAGTACCAGATAGGCTGTGAGGCCTAGGTAGACAGCAGCCAGCAGAGCTACAAGGACGAAGTAGGCAGGGTGCGGGAGGCTGGGCAGGTAGATGACCACGAAGTAGAGGTTGATGGCACAGACCAGAGCCATGATGAAGGATGTGATGGCCTTGCTCAGCCTGGGGGCAGGAGGGATGCTGCTCAGGACTGGCTGCATCTCTTCCTTCTCTCCACTGCCCAAGCCAGCCTGGAGGAGACTGAGGGCATGTGCAAAGCCACCTTCTCTGGGCTGTGGGATCTGGCGCAGCAGACCACTTGCCCACTCCCGTCTCCTG